GTTTTCCAGTCCAGTCTGATGGGATGCAATGCTCTCATTCAAATGTCTATATTTGGTATTCCCTAGGAACTTCACTGCTTTGCTCCCCTTGCTGCTCTGTTGCATGTTCTGTTAGACAGGGTTCTCTATAGAAACAAAACCAGGACACTAATTAATATGTATATGTATATATATACATATACATATTATAAAACATAAGAAGTAAACTGTTAATTAATCTATAAAGCAGTACAAATGGCTCAGTGCAACTCAATTCTGTGAGACAGCTAATACAGTGGCAGTTCTTCAAGTCTTGAGGGCTGCCAGGTAGTCCTCTGTAGAGCAATTCAGGCTATCTGGCCACAGGCAGCAAACAACAAAGCAGGTCACCAACAGTCAGCCAGATGACAGGGTCTGACAGTCCCTAGCTCAAGCAATGTATATTCCAGTAGCGTGGCAAAGCAGGTCTTGAAGGAACCTCAAACTACAGTGACATAGTCCACGGGTTGTGTGTCCCACAGGTAGTGTATCTTGCAAATTGAGGCAGAGAACAAGCTAAGGCAGGTGCACACTGGACTGATCATTAAAGAGCAAGAGATAAGAAAGGGGAGGCTCACCAAGCCATTTATCTCTCTGCCCTTTAATTAATCCCACATGTGTTCATTGGCCATGTTGGCACAATAAGCCTACCTATCACATGCCCTTAGTGTCGCCCTAGTGTAATGGGGTCATATCGGGCACAAGTCCTGCACTGTGTCTCCAGTGTTGTCCCCTGTAGTGCTGTGGGTCAGAGACGGACGTTGTGTCTGTGTCTCACGGTGGGGCCAGCCCTATGGTCCTCTCTGTGTATTGGGTTTTCTTAGCAGGAATATCATTCTCAGGCTTGGGGGGCCAGGATGTGTTCCACTCTTTCCTTCCTTCTTAATTTGATCCTGTATGCTCTGATCAGACATGCTACCTCTACCTGAGCTGTAGCTTCAGTGTTGTCCTCTGAAGTTCTAGGCATGTCTTTTAAAAATAAAGTTTATTTTTTAGGTTAAAAAATTGGGCAGAAATTTTCCAATATGCCTCCTCTCTGCGGTGGTGTAATTGGTTACGCATGTTATGCAGCCAATTGCATGTTCAGACATTTGAAAACACCAGCAGCTCCTTGGAAGAAAAATGACACTTTCTACTCCTATAGATTTTAAAGCTTTGGAAACCCATATGGCCAGGTCTACCCTGGCCTGTAGAGTTACTATGGGTTGTAGTCAACTCCAGGCACTAACTTTAAAGTTTTCCCTCTACACAGTTCCTCCTATTATAAAAAGTTTGGATTCCTGTGTTGTGTTCCTTATAAGTTATGAACTTATATGGAAACAAAATCCATAATTTACATTCTGATATCTTTAAAACCAATATCCTTCTGACATATTATATTAAATATAGTTCAATTACAAGAAGCCCTGGCAACATAGTGTGTTATGAGTTGGGCTACTAACCACAAAGTCAGCAGTTTGAACCCATCAGCCACTCTGCTGGCGAAAGACGAGGCCTCTGTTCCATTAAAGATTTACAGCCTTGGAAGCCAGTAAGGGCAGTCCTTGGTCTGGAGTGTTGCTATGATTCAGAATTGACTCCATGGTAGCGAGTTTGAATTCAAATATATCTTATGATTTAGTTCACCTTGTTCACTTTTCTATTGTCCTTTTTAGTTTGGAGATTTAGTGCCATCTAGGAGCTAGGGCTAAGCCAATGCTACTAAACCTTGGTCTTTACACAGAAACAAATATTTATCTTTTATTTAAAACTATGTTCCCTATTCCTCTGTTAATTTTTGAAATTTGTAGGCTCATATTTTCTGAAACATTCCCCTTTTTCCTTAGATTGTATTGGCACATTAATGAATGATTATTCAGACATTTTTATGTATAAAAACACCTTTTCTCTAGCGTAAGATTTGACAGGTGAAACTCATACCATAAATAGAAATTTAGTAATTTGTGTGGGACTTTTGATTTGTTCTGATTTATTAAATATAAAGGCTATTTGAACAGAAGGAGAACTTAATAGCCAATAGTTAAGCTTTTATGTAGCCCATGATTAAAGTAATTAATGTCAGATACTTACAAGCAAACTCTACAGAGAAAGAGTTTGATTCCCATTAACCCTCCATTTTCCCTATTCTACTGCCATCAGGGCGATTCCAACTCAAAACTACCCTATATCCTTACCCGAGCGGACAGGGTCTTCTTTCCTGAGCACTTCTTTATGATCCTCAAATTGAGAATTACATTGACTATTTTCATCTCAGATCCTGAATTTTCCTGAAGGAAAGTGGCAAGCATCATTTAAAGGCTCAATAGTTTCCATCCTAATCCTGGACATCATATTTGGTTTATTTGTGTAATTACTCCTCTTAGCTGTGACAATTTGGAAGTACATGTTTAGGAAATAAGTCTGAATACTTTCATGTATCCGTTAGTCATTACATATTTAGATTTTTAAAACCCATTCGTATTTTACAGTTAGATAAGGATAAGATAAAAACAGCCACTAGCACAGCCTCTACCAACATGCTTTCAACATATTTAGAAACCAGAGGCACTTGGAAGCTTCCAAAACGTTCCATAGGGAGAACGCAATGTATGAGACCACGGAAAAGATAGGGGGGTGGGGGTGGGGGAAGCAAACCTCGACACATTAAAGAGCAAGCACAAGTGGGTTTAAAATATCTATACTTTAATCAAAATTAGGAGTATAAAGGAAGATACTGATGAACATATTTATAAATGAAAGGCTCCTCAATATATTTATTTAAAAATAAATACTCCTGAACATTATAGCTAATAGCCAAATATACGACAGAGTTTGAAAGAAAGACAGTGTTCCTTTCTGTGATTTGAGGGCACTGGTTTGATGATGCCAGTTCATCCCTACACTCACACCTTCATTTCTTACTGTATGGCTGGCTGGTAACTAGAACAGAGGATATGTTGACTCTTGCCCTTAGGCTGTCCCTTGGTTGAAGACATAGGTATTGACATTTAACACTTATTGCTTAGGCCACATTTTGTGTATCACCCAGAATAGAAGCAGCTTCTTTTTTTACTATTCATTACTGTTTCTAATATCCAATACATCCCGAGTTGAATTATAGACTGATGTGCCCTGGTAGCGTGGCATATATTTTGTTATCAGGTAAAGATAATATCCATCAGACACACCCACCCTGACAGACAATACATACATATGTGTACCCACACACTCATGTAAACACACAGGAATTTTATAGAGAATTTGGGAATTCTAGCTTACAAGGTTACACAAGCTAAGTTTCCTCATCATAACACAATAAAAGATAAATAGTATTTTAAAAATTCACATAGCAATACACAGACCCTTAAGAGCTAAGATATGCTCTTAGTAATATGTCCAAGGTATAAATGAGAAAAAAATACAATTGTAGATTTCTTCAAACATACATATATGAAAATATTACCTAACAAATTGTATGGTGTATCCAAAGATATATTCAGAAGTAATTTTGTAGCCTTAAGCATTTTAGTTATTAAAAGTTATTAAAAGAGGTCAGATGGATGTAAGACATTTAATCATTGAGTTCAACAAAAGGAAAATAAAACCACACAACAAAATAAAAAAGTGAAAATATAAAATCAACTGCAGGAATTAATGAGTTAGAGAACAAAATGTGAGAAGTAGAAATGAATCTAAAAGCTGGTTTATTTTACAAAATTCTACAAAGCAGGTAAGCAAATAATTTAATGAATGAAATATATAAAATATAAACAAACAAAATTAGAAATAAGAAACAGTTATGTGACTATTAGCAGACTATATACAATTTTGTATCAATACTTTGAGAATCTAAATGAAATGCATAATTATTTTGAGGGAAAAAACTCTAAAGGACCAAAGTTGATATGAACAATGGAAATCCTGCATAGATAAAACAAAAATTAGGAGTAACTTTACCAAGATATTATTATATTGTTATTAGGGGCTGTTGATTTGGCTCTAATGCATTGTGGCCATTTTACAAGAGAACAAAACACTGCCCAACTCAGATCTTTGATCAATTAGGTCTGCAATTCAAAGCTACTAGTTATTCTGTAGGAGAAAGCCAGAAGTTTCTACTCCCATAAAGAGTTACAGTTTTGTAAACTCATAGGACCAGTTCCATCCTGTCCTATAGGGTTGCTATGAGTTGGCATGGACTCGATGAGAGTGAGTTTGTTTTGGTAATAAATTTTGCAAAATGTATTGATGAGAATACAGATACAGAGTAGAAGTGACATGCATTTGGATAGACAACAGCATGGCTTCAGTGATGATTAGAGCAAGTGTTTAGATGAGCCTGTAATCAGCCCAGGTACCTGAATGGCTGTGATGAACAGAGTCCCCTACTGACCTCATTGGACTTGTACCTTGTGTGAGAGACATGTACCTTCTCTTTTGGGAGCCACTGACATTTTGAGGTTGTTTGTGACCTCTTAGGATCCCTGGTGGTCCAGTGGGTTATACATTGGGCTGCTAACCCACCAGGTTCCCAGTTTGAAACCACCAACCCCTCCTCAGGAGAAAGATAATGCTTTCTACTCCTGTAAAGATTTACAGTGTCGGAAAACCAGAAGGGCAGTGCTACCCTGTCTTATCCCTATTACCCTGAATCAGAATTGACCTGATAGCAGGGAGTTTCAGGAGTTGATCTTGACTGATTTTTAACGTTGCTGTAGAAATATAGTCAAAAGAATAGTAAAAAAGTGACCGATTATTTAAAAGATTACTATATATGATATAATAAATAAATAATAAATAGGCATCACAAACTCACACACGCCATCTATTAAATAAAAGAACAAAGAGGAATTCTGAATCCTACTTTGTGTCACTGAATTAAATCACTTCTATCTAGAATAAAGAGTCAAATGTAAATACTTAAGCATGAAGTAAAATGAAGCAGACAAAACTCAGTGCTGATCTTTGAAAATAATGGTATGCTTTTAAAAGTTTGAAATTAGGCCAGACGTTCTTCGCAGAGCCGCCACGGTCTCCTGCTTCAACAGTGCTTGAACGGAACCCGGTGCTCGCCAACCTCCCCCTGCCAACCGGCCGCCCAGCGTGCCCTCCAGCAGCACCTCTCAGCCTACTCTCTACGACCCCAGGCCTCCACCGCCGCCATGACCGCGTCTGCCTCGCAGGTGCGCCAGAACTACAACCAGGACTCGGAGGCGGCCATCAACCGGCCGATCAACCTGGAGCTCTACGCCTCCTACGTCTACCTGTCCATGTCTCACTACTTCGACCGGGATGACGTGGCTCTGAAGAACTTTGCCAAATACTTTCTGCACCAGTCTCACGAGGAGAGAGAACACGCTGAGAAACTGATGGAGTTGCAGAACAAACGAGCTGGCCGGGTCTTCCTCCAGGATATCAAGAAACCGGACCCGGACGACTGGGAGAGTGGGCTCAACGCCATGGAGGGTGCACTGCACCTGGAGAAGAGTGTCAACCAGCCCCTGCTGGGGCTCCACAAACTGGCCACGGACAAGAACGACCCCCATCTCTGTGACTTCATCGAGACACATTACCTGGGTGAGCAGGTGAAATCCATCAACGAGCTGGGCGACTACGTCACCAATCTGCGCAAGAATGGGGGCCACAGATTCCGTCCTGGCCGAATATCTCTTCGACAAGCACACCCTGGGAGACAGTGATGGAGAGAGCTGAGCGGCAGCCTGGCCTTCCACAAGTCACCAAGGCAGCATGCGTGTGGGGTATACCTGTCCCTTTTCTAGAAATTGTACCCAAGCATCCACTTCCGTTCTTCCATTTGTACCTTTCCTTCAGATAAAGTCTAAACTCATTTGATGCTCAGCTGCTGTGTCAGAGATCTTGACGGGGAGGGGCCAGAGAGCTGCCCGGGGCCCAGGCAGTCAAATTTTTTAAGTGCCCCAGTTCCACTGCAAATTCCCACATCATAAAACGGAGCTTTTGCGGAAAAAAAAAAGTTTGAAATCAGAAAACAAAATCCCCCCAAAGAGCCCATAATATGTAAATAAATTAATTAAGTTGAATTAAATGTTAAAAATCACAATCTGGTCAATTATCATTTGACTCATTTCTTATGATTATAAATTTAAATCATAGTTCAAGTCACAAGAATAAAGTAAAATAATTATACTTAGAAAAAAATCCCACTTTTGGTAGTAAGATCTTCTATGAAGCCTTGAGACCATTATCTAGAATCCCCGAATCTCATTGCCTAGAGTTAGGAGCTTGTGTTCTCAATCTGGTTTATCTGCTTTTTAGCAGCGGATAATCTACAGTCACATATGCACTCAGAGATAGTTAACAGGAGTTGGGCCAGATGATCATTGAGATCTTTCACAAATTTATTTCCAAACCATTTTATTAGGTGCTAAGCCAGACATCATGCCATACCACCATCCAATCACATCAAGCAGTATTGTACAATTGCTACCACACTCAGTTTCAAAACATTTTCTTCCTTCTTGAATTCCTTGTTACCAGCTCCCTCTTACCCCCACCCCTCACCCCGGCAATTGTAGCCCCTGGAACCTTTATTCTAGTTGTTGTCTCTGTAGACTCATCAATCCTGAGCTCCATATATACTGAAAAACATAGAAAAACACATAACAAAGATTCAAGAAGGCTACCTACAATGACAAAACACACCAGACGAAGCTCAATATGAAAAATCCCACAGAAAATCTTGAAAACCAGATCTAGCCCAAAGTGTATTCGAGGGGAGAGCAAGTGATAAGGTTTCAACCATTCAACTCAGGTTTATCATTTTAATCTACAATATCGTTTTAATCTACACGTTGTGCTTAACCTTTTAATCTCCAACACTCTGTCTGGTAGTCAGTTTGCTTATTCTCATCCCACAATTATGGTTAGAGGGATATCATTGGAGGCTTCTTTCCTGTGAAAGTCCTGCAAATGTATTTTTGGCTTCGGCTCACTATCATACAAGCTACCTGCAAACCATAATCTCACAATTTAAACGCTGATATTATTCAATCTTTGGGATTTGTATTATATAATTCAAACCCTTGGGTCATGGATGTTGGTGTGCTTCTTCCATGTGTACTTAGTTGACATCTTACTTAGATGGTTGCTTGTTTGGAAACAAACTTATAAGAGATCAGATGCTCTTCTGTGAGCTGGGCACCATCTAATTTCTTCACCACATTTTGTGATAACACCCATATCGTCTGTGGCAAGTTTCATGAAGGCAGGTTTCAAGCAGGTCCATGTCATAAAAATGAATCATTCCAAGATTGGAACTAGGATTAAGTCCAAGCCCCAAGCCCATTCCTGAATCTATGTTATTTATCTGCCTTTGGCTCCTCTTAGGGACCTCCTTTTTAATTTATGGTACAGAATCTTACCAATCAGCCCCCTGGAGCATAAGGACGTTCTGTTAATAGTGTCATTGATTAGCCCATGGTACTAATTTTTAAAACACTATTGAGAGAGGGAGCTTGAACCAGTGTTGACTAACTATATATCACAATACCTGAATTATTCACTTGTACAGAATAAATCCTTATGTGGTTGGATGATATTTACACAAAAATTTGGAGTTGGTAGTCAGGTAAAACTCACAATCATATTCACTGAAAATGTCAATCACAGGTCTGCCAGAATAAAACACATCTTAATACAGCAAGTAGGGCATGAAAGTATTAAGTCACTGTTGGTCTTCATTCCAACAGTTCAATACTCTTGATTTTACTGTCTTCTGCTTCTTCAAACACCATGCAAGTTCAGTCTTAAGTCCTTAGGTTACTGGTATGTTTTAGGTAGACTCTAGCTCACCTAGAGGGGTTTCCACATTGCATCCCTCTGGTATGGCCTTTGGAGCATGTTGTGCACCTTGAAGATCTACGATTCAATGCCCCAGTGTTCTAAGCAATGTGGGGACAGAAACTCTGCCAATGTGCCTTGCTAGGTGCATATTTCCAGGTACACTGCCCCTTTAGGGTCCTTAAAAGTGTTGTTTGTCATTATCCATGCCCCAACCACCACCAACCCTTCCAACTAGGAAGTTGATTCTCCCCGCTTTTCTACTAATAGACATGCACTTGTCTTCTCCCAGACTTGTCTGCTCCCTTTCTCCTCTCCTGACTTGACTCTCCCATCACTATCCTTCATCACTCTGATAGGAATGTCTGCTAGTACAAGGAGACCTTTACCTAACTTTGCATGGCAGCCACTATGCTGTCAGCCTCCCTCCTCTCTTGAAAATCTGATTCTAGGTGATGTGAGGAGCCCTCCACCAAAGAGACCTTTGAGATACACATCTAGAGAGGATGGTGCATGATTCATTGGCACCAGTCAGGCTCTCTATCACGTTGTCTGGATGCCCTGGTCAACATACAGGATGCCCTGTAAACCCAAGCTTGTGCCTGCTCTAGTGTTTGCTCCCCCTATAGCAGTGAGCTCATACAGTATTTATCTTTTTGTGATTGACTAACTTCACTCAGCATAATGGTTTCCAGATCCCTCCATGTCATGAGGGGTTTCATAGTTTCATCATAGTTTTTAGGGAAGTGTAATAGTCCATTGTGTGCATATACCAGTGTTTTTTTAATTTTTATTCTACAGCTGAGGATTTAGGCTGTTTCCAACTTCTTGTTATTGTGAACTGTGCTTCAATGAGCATGGGAGGGCATACTATCTGTTCACGACCTGTCTCTTATTTCTTTGGGTGTATGCACAGCAATGGTAATGGTGGGTCATATATTTCTATTGCTGGCTGTTTTATGAATCACCATATAGGTTTCCACAATGGTTGTAAATATTTACAAGCTTGCCAGTGGTGTATAAGAGTTCCAGTATCTTCACACCATCTCCAGCAATTGTTGTTGTTTCTCTTTTTTCTTAAATTGGATGTTAGCTATGGGTGTTAGTAGGTATCTCATTATTATTTTGACTTGCTTTTATTGGATGGTTAGTGAATGAGAACATTTCCTTATGTGCTTGTTAGCCATTTCGGTGTCATCCTTTGGGAATTGTCTCAGTGTTTCTCAAACTTACTAAATTTCACGATCCTTTAATACAGTTCTTCATGTTGTGGTGACTCACCAACCATAAAATTATTTTCGTTGCTACTTCATAACTATAATTTTGCTACTGTTATGAATCAGGCAACCCCCGTGAAAGAGTCGTTTGACCCCCAAAGGAGTCGCATCTCACAGGTTGAGAACCCACAGGCTGGTTTAGGTCATTCTAAGAGAGTTATTTATTTATCTTGCTAGAGGCTTGCAGTATTCTGTAGATTTTAGCAATCAGTCCTTTCTCTGATATTTATTGCTAAATATCTTTTCATCTTTTGATGAAAATTTTTTTATGTACACAAGCATTTATTTTTAATAAGTCTCTTTCATCTATGTTGTTTTCCACTGTGTGCAGGAAGAATAGAAAAACTAAAGCCATATCCAATAGACTTTCAGAAGGCAAATAATTAGATAATAGGATTAGATAATAAAATCAAAGAAATAAAAATCTGAATTAGTGAATTTGAAGACTAGTCCCTTGACTATAACTGATAATAGGAACAATCAGCAAAATGAGCAAGGGAATTTGAAGAAAACCTAAGGATTATGTGGTTCACTATCAAGAGGAACAGCATATGACTCATTGTGATACTGAAGCAGGAAGAAACAAAAAATTCTACAGAGAAAATTGTATAAGAAACTAAGAAAGAAAATGTCCCTAATACCATAAGAGAGGAGAAACTATTCAAAAAGCTGAGAGAACCCCAAAGAGGATATAGCCCCAAAGAAAGATATCACAATGTATTATAATCAAACTCTATAATATATCATGGAAAAGGAGAGAATCCTGAGAGAAGCTAAAGGGGAGTGGGGGCGGGAAGCACAGTCACCTAAAAAGGAGATCATTAGCAATAAGCACAGCTTTCACAGTTGGAAAGAAGACAATGGAGTGATATTTATGAAGCCCCCCCACACACACACACCAAAAAACAACAAAAAAAGCTGCAAACCAACAATTTTTATATCCAGTGAAACATTCCTCAATTATAAAGGAAAAGTAAGGATATTTTCAAACAAGGAGAAAATAAGGAAATTTGTAAAAACAAAGCAAGCATTACATAAACAAACAAAAAATCCTCTAAATTAAAATGAAAACTTTGGACAGAGAACCAACAGTACCAGATAAGCCAAGAGCAAAGTGCAAGATAAATCACTTAGAAATCAACACACTTAAAACAGTATTCAAAAAGGCATAAAAATTAAAGAACAAAGAACCCCCATTCTGAAGAACAAAACAAACACACAGCAAAATCACCGCAACAAACCCACACATATCAATAATAACACTGAATGTTAATGGATTAAATCTACCATGCAAGAGACAGAGTAGCAGACTGGATAATAAGCCGAGACAGACTTCTGGGAAGATGGTGTCAAAGCAAGGTCACACTTTTGAAATTTCCTTTGGTTTATATCCAGAACTGGGCTAAGGAGGACATTTCAGGGGAATTTGGCATGGGTTCTGGTCTAGCAGTGCCTAGGAGATCTTTTGTCTGTTTCCCCACAGACAGCACAGCTGTGCTCAACACAACACAAGCTCTACTCCAATTCCCCAGCTAAGAGACCTGTGCTCCTTGGTACCTGACACCCGGAGCTCTAGTCCTTGTGCTCCTACCTACCCCATCCCCAGGAAGGTTCTAT